GGGACACCATCAAAACAGGACCGGGACACCATCACAACATGACTGGGACACAATCAAAACATGATCGGGACACCATCACAACATGACCGCGCCACCATCACATGATCGGGACACCATCAAAACATGACCGGGACACCGTCACAACACGACCGGGACACCATCAAAACATGACCGGGACACCATCACAACATGACCGGGACACCATCACATGACCGAGACACCATCAAAACATGACCGGGACACCATCACAACATGACCGGGACACTCAAAACATGACCGGGACACCATCAAAACACGACCGGGACACCATCACAACATGACTGGGACACAATCAAAACATGATCGGGACACCATCACAACATGACCGCGCCACCATCACATGATCGGGACACCATCAAAACATGACCGGGACACCGTCACAACACGACCGGGACACCATCAAAACATGCCCGGGACACCATCACAACATGACCGGGACACCATCACAACATGACCGGGACGCCTTCAAAACATGACCGGGACACCATCACAACATGACCGGGACACCATCAAAACATGACCGGGACACCATCAAAACAGGACCGGGACACCATCACAACATGATTGGGTCACAATCAAAACATGATGGGGACACCATCAAAACATGACCGGGACACCAGCATCACATGACCCGGACGCCATCAAAACATGACCGGGACACCATCCGCCCACCAGCTCTGACGGTGACCCGACGGCGCCCGTCCGCCTATTAGTTTTGCAAGACCCCATAGCATGGCTATTGGGGAACAAACAAACAAATCACTTTCGAGGACATAGAAACCGGTATTTTCAGGACTGGCATCATTGTCAAATGCACAAACTTCTTCCTGAAGGAATATCTGAGCCTGCGAACATTTTTGTGATCCAAATCTTCTGAGATGAAGGTACCTGTAAATGGACTTGTATGATCCTCCATGATCCTCCTTTTCCTTGAAGGCAACCCTTCGTTGGGCCCAACAGAAATTGAGGGTGACTTACCCTCGTTATGGCTGCAGATCTAGGGGGCTGCTCCAACACATCGTCTATTCATGAGTCAATTTTGAACTGGGCACAGCTCTTTGTATGGTCGAAAGTCTAAGCCACCGTTGGGTGTTCAAAGCCACGATGGTTTGGTTTGGATTTCCCAGCCATGCCCCACCCAAGCCTGTCTAGACTTGCTCCTCCGCTCCTTCGACGTATCTGGGGACATGTCCTGGCCACAAAATGTGTCTTCGCTTCGGTCAAAGTGGGGTTCCCTCCGGGGTCAACTGGGGCGCCAGGTGTGATCTATTCACACTGGCACATCCGTGCGCAGGACCTGAGGTCGTCCTGAAGTTGCTTTCTTCTTCCTTCCCGACAAGTTCGAGTGGAAGCTGAACCTCTACAAAGTAAACATTTGGACTGGACGGGATTGGGTCATTCAGGCGTTTCCGCTAAGAACCGACCCCCGGTGAACCCCCAGGACTGACCCGGCGTTTCTATCCCGAGGCTGGGGCGTTCTTCTATCGGCTATGAATGAGTGGCCGATACAACGCACAGCAGGTCAATGAACACTTAGTCATGTCTGATCTGTGTGCTTGATCAGAGTTCAGCTCCGAAACCTTCTATACTGAACAAAAAAAATATCCCTTCCAGCCCCTTCCACTTTCACCAGTCTCAACCATTCACAGGAGTTTACATGAGTCAACCATCCCGGGAACCACCGGATCCGATCGTTCGGTGGCTCCCACGATGGTTCGGTGTCGGCGGAAGGGTGAAGTCTTCCCCAAGCAGAAGAGGGCGGAGAACTTGATGCACCCATGTGTAGTGTGTTTGATGAGCCTTGTAGGCACATTTTTTCTATCATGGTCCTCTTGGTGTGGCAAGGAAGAGCAGCTAGCACAACACCTGCACACTTCTGACACTCATCTGCTACTTCTGCAGGAGGGGACATCGGCAGCAGTTGTTTAGACTAAGGGAGAATCAACAGGTATGTATATAACTAGCCTTAACAACTGGCTGCTTTGTAGTGTAAAATCCTTAGTACAACAATTGGTCTTCTTGTTTGGTAAAATCCATTAAACCAATGAATGTTCAGATACAATACTTCCTCCATCATTCAGCTAGATCCCACCAGATTCCACCAATGGCAGATTTTGTGGCCTGTTCTTGACGCTTGCGATGATCGGTCAGGCTGCTCATCTCCAGCAGGATCTGCTCCTGCCGGGGTGTAGTTTCACCATGCCAGGGCCAGCTAAAGAAAGGGACTCCTACACTCAGAACAAAACTTCTTTTGCTGACTGTCTTAATTAGCTGCTTGCCTTCCTGGAATCCATTTGCCAAGAGTAGTTAACTCCTGTAAACCGGAAGTCTACTTAGCTGCGAACGGATGGTTGACAAATGGTGAGCGGAACCATGTGGATCCAAGGCTCTGTTCCATTCTCTACCCGACTCGCTGTCAACGGGATGGTCTTCTGGATGATTGACGCACAATGTGCGCATCTAAGATCACAGATCTCGGGAATGGAACAAGCTGCGCTAGGGTGCATGCTGTGCCAAATACCAGTGCTTCTTGCTACTAGTAGCTATTTGTTCCTCGTAGTAATGCCAGGAGCTACTAGTAGCGTTCTTGCTCCTAGTAGTAATGCCCTTTGTTACTAGTAGCTTCTTGTTACTAGTAGCAAGGCCCTTGCTCCTAGTAGCGATGCCAGGAGCCCCTAGTAGCGTCCTCTACCTGAAAATGCTGGTGATCCTTCCATCCTGCCGCACTCGTTGCCCTGGGAGGATCCTCTTGCATTTCTGCAGCCTGTCGCTCGTGCTCACACTGGACCTCAGCGCACGGCGTGTCTGGTCGAAAGGATTGGTAGGCTTGACTGAAGAAACGCGGAAACCTACCCGAGATGTACCAGACTCTCTAGGAACAAGTGCATCGCTTCTAGTAACAAGTGCCTTACTAGTAGTAACAAGAAGCTACTAGGGGCTCCTGGCCTTACTACTAGGAGCAAGGACGCTACTAGGACTCCATTCGGAGGCAAAGAGCTATATTGTAATATTACGTTAGTTATATTGCACAATCAGATTCTTCCCTCAGGCGGTGCCAAATATATCAAAGTGGGCAATGGCAATGCACACAAAAAGCAACATGGTCAAAGCTGAATGAACTGTGTTGAGAGTTTAAGCTGAACGAACTCTCACATCCAGGATCAACATTTCAGTCTCGATAGGATTGGGTTTTGCTGCTCCGGATGAGTAGACAGTCACTGACGCTTCCAACCGAGTTGTGGCTTGAAGAACATGAGGTTCCATTAGGTTTCTTCCAATCAAAACATCAGTTGGCCCTCGGCCAAAGAGCGTCCCCAGCAGGATGTCTTCGGTGATGCACACAGAAGAAGCTGCCCCAACTAGCCCAAGTGAATGGAATCCTACACAGCTGGATGGAGGATCCGGCACAAACCGGTGCTGGTCTACTTTCGACCACCACCCATCTGCAGAATCTGCATCTTCACCGCTTCGGACATGTTCATCTTCCGGCTAGCGGCTAATTGCAGCGTCGAATTTCCACGATGCCCTGGAAGAGACCCACATGGAACCTGAGTTCACCACGCCCGTTTTGTAGAGTAAATAATAGTATTCCAAAGGTTCAATCTCAGGTTCCATGTGGGTGTAGTCCCTTACTCTCTGATCTGAGGGTCATGGTTCCGGCGGAGGGACTCTGACGAAAAGAGAAAACAGCAAACCCCTCTGGGCTCATCATGGCGACGCAAGTGAGACACCAGTTTCAATGACCCTAAAAAGAGGTGAAGATCTTATCATGAGCGATTTGTTTTACGTTCCTTTGATCACATTTCCATCATGTTTGTGTGACTACTTCCTCAGTTTCCCTGGAATATGAAAGCGTATCCAAACATTCCACCTAGTCTTATTTGGTGGATCCCCCCCCAAGTCCAAAGCAAGGTTGGCTAAAAGCAGGCGTTGAACGTTGAACACCCCTTCCGTGGACTCTCTGCCCCCGGGCTCTGAAGCGTTGCCACTCTTCGTGCAGTTCCTCTAACTGTTGACCTCCAGGCGGTGACCGCGAGCGCAGGACGCGAGCGAACGCAGAAGCCAAACGGAGAAGAACACGTTGAACACGGACACCCCATGTCCGTCAAAGCGAAGAGGCGAGACGTTGGTTGAGCAAATACCCAGAGGTCCACATTAGCCAGAAAAGTGGTGGGCCAAAGGTACAGCCAATACTTCTAACTTAGTGAGTGAGCGACTTCAAAAGATTGGGTATGCCCGGAATATGCACATCTGAAACAAAACATAACTACGTAAAGCCATTTCGACCACACATCATCGGCGGAGCACGGTCTAAAGGTCTAAAGGGAGCTCATGGAACACATGCAGTTCGGTGCTCTGTTGACTCGACACCAAGGACCTTTAATGTCAAATTAACAAAATCACATGCCAGCACCGACTTCACAGGTCACCAATTGAAACCTGTTAGGGCCTTTCCCAACCCTCCCATTTCGGAGACCTGTTGGAAGGTGCTGGTGGTGTGTTCTGATCCTCCTACAATGTTGTCATTCTTCAATCTTTTCGTCTACCCACCAGGGTGGGCGGTGGATAGGGGTCGTCCATTGACGTCTCTCCCACGAGCTTGCAATCTGCGCGTGCGCAGCGTTCGCCATCTGGCAACACAAACCCCAAACTTCAATGACCCAACTCAACCCCAAGGGCGGTACACCTACACTCCTAATCACTCCTACACTGACACATCACGTGGATTTTTTAGACACCACCCTGCGTGATATTCGGAACATGGCCTTCCCCGAGGACCATGCCACCCACGTCACTTCGCCATTCGACGGTCCACTTCCCGTCGAAGTAGTGTGACACACCACAGACATCGAACCGAAAGGACCCCAAAAACGACTGGAAACACTCCCGAGCGGCAGATCCCTGGTCGAAAAGGGAGGATCTTTCTCCACCTCTTCTTGTTGAAAGGGAACGGCCTAGTAGGTGCTAGGCCATCGCTGGCCATCGCTAGTAGGTTAGAGCCCATTCCTACTAGGAATCAGAAGCTACGAACGTAGACGCTACGAACGGGGCTCCTGGCCTTACTACTAGTAGCGATCGGACGCCACGAACGGAGCAAAGGGCATGAGCATCGCTAGAAAAGCGTCGATCGATCCATATCGCTACCCTCCGAGCGACGCATCGGCAGCTCTTTCGCTTCATCCTCCATGCGGTGGAGCTGCACCTGGACCGCTTCGTGTCGGTCGCAAGCCGCGTCCACCGCGCGAGGGCGGGGGGTTCGGTCGGACACGTGACGCGTGGGGTGAAAGAGCCGGTTTCGGGAACCGGGGAAGAGCTGGTAGCGATGGCCACCTAGCTTCTTGTTCCTAGTGCGTTCTGGCCGCATTCGCGTCCTTTTGCACAGGTGGAACCAGTGTGAAAAATCTCCAATACGAATGAGTACACAAAAAGAGGTTACTACTGGTGCCTCCCAGAATCACCCGGCTGCACATCTACTGGCATCATTCATTGATGGAAATTCCGATCAAATCTCAGATCTGAAGATTTGAAGATTTCCATCAGTGTAAGTCTTTAGATCCGAAGACAAACCAAAATCCCTCATCATCGGTTACAAATCACTGCTACACACCGATGATTTGAAGAGTTGCCTTTTAAAGATCGGCCTCCGCGTCTAAACTTGTCAGACTTTCTGTTTGGTCCAAAATGATATCCTCCCCTCACCTCCAACGCTGGCCCTTACAAATCCCTAAGAGTCAATGAAGGAGGAAGGACCTCATGAGTGTATTGCAAGGCTTGCAGGATCCAATCATTGGATTGGCTTAAGGCTTAAGGAAAAATCGACAAACCATGGTTTTCACACCCCAAATCTATGGGTCTCCTGTAGATTTTGCTTATCCAACCAACTCTGGGACCCAACTGTATCCTTCATGGAACCTGCTCATAGCAGCCACCTGGAAGACACACATAATCTTGGAAGGCCTATGAGACTGGGGTTGCTATCTACATGTCCTGACCTCTCTGCTTTCTCGATGTTCTGTTCCAGTCCGTTTGTACTTGTGGCCTTCAGGAATTGCCAAATCTGGGTTTCACCACACCCAGACACGACTAATGGGACTGCCATATTTACCTACATTGACCCCTTTTCAACCACCCCAATATATGGAGCGTCTGGGACAGGTTTGTTTGTGAGATGAAAAGCCATGAAACACAACTATATCGTTTCATCAAAAAAAACACCGCCCTCGCAGTCGCGAACAAAAGGGCCAAGCAGTCGGTCCCGCCTCTCGCTGGAATTCCATCATTTCCGCCTGCTTCAATGCCTGGCAGGTCGTGCTGTGCACCAAAAAGAGGCGAAGGCCAATGGTTGGATACAATAAGCTTCTTCAGGCCACACTCACAATTGTGTGAAAAAGATAAACTCCAAAAGAGTCCTTGACCACGTCGCACGAGGATTCCCTTTTCTATCTCTTTAGGAACATCTCCAATCAATCCAAGGGTGCTTCAGTCTTCCACAAATCTTTGATTCTTAGAGCAAAACAGCATGTCTAGCTGTCTGTGATGGGTGGTTGCTGCAGTCCAGAAACTTCAACCTGCATTAGGTCAATGGATGGTCAATGGGTGAAGGTTACCATTGCTGTTTGCTCTGAATTGCTGCTTGGATCATGCTCATGAAAGCTCATCCTCCATAAAAGAAAATGGAATAGACACAGGAACCAAAACTTAATCCTGTGGATATTTTGTATCTTTACCAACTTTACATGGCGCTCCCCCCAAACCAACGTAGTCGGCCTGTCCGTCCAAAATCACGTGACCCCCATTGCCAATGAGGACAACTAGCACCAGTAACTGACACCATCTTGGATCCAGGAATCGGTTTAAGACACCCACCCCACATATAACCATCCCATCTCCAACTTGGATCCCATTCCCATCTCCACCCAATCCTCACTCGACCTCCAGCCCTGGAACTCACTCACCCATCTCGAACACGTGTCCGTCCAAACGCCTACGAACACTGTCGACGACCGCCAGAAAGCCCCGGCCACGAAAAAAAGCACCGGCCGACGACCACCAGTGCCCTGGCCGCGCCAGTAAATGCCGCCGCACGCTGTCGGACCCTTCGCTCGTCTTCAAGGTCTCCAACTGCCGCCTGAGGTTGGCACGATGAGGTTACATGGTTTCAGAGGTTGGCACTGGCACCGCAAGATGTCCAAACAAACCACCAAAACCACCAAAAACCATATCTGGCACCACCACTGGACCCATATTTTGGGGGTCCATCCAAACCACCAAAACTTCTACCATCGAACCTCTCAACCCACCGAAACCCTCGGTGGGGAGGCACCGGTGGCGAGTGCGCCGGCGAGTGCCGGCGAGTGCCGGGCATGTTTTGAAAAAAGAGGTCGACCTTTTGAAGATTGGACTCGTAGGTCTTTTCTGTCGGCCACGACTTTTTAGCCATGGTCCTGTTAACGCGAGCTCCGCGTCACAGGTAGTAGGCTACAGGTCAACCCAAGAAGGTCCATGACTAATCAAGAGGTCCGTTCCTCATTGTACCTTCTATTCTTAAATAAATGTAGAATCTCGGTAAAGAAAAAGTACAACATAATAACACCTCCATATATATATATATATATTGAGGTTTTACCATCCCATTTAACCATCCCAACAAAGAGTCTCAACCTTGGACCTCTAGACCTTTGAATACATTTGAATCCCTTTGACCTTTCTCACTACTTTCGAAAGGTAGAACCGAGGAAACAGCTGCACTGCACCGCTGAAGCCTCAGGGCAATCTGCCGCTCCAGCCGCTCCTCACGATGCCCACGCTCGCCCTGGAGCAGTGACCCGGGCGGTGAACACCGGTGGCCTTTTGGGGCGGTTGGATGAGTTGGGTGGAAGTTGCAGGTGTCTCTTTTGTGTTCGAACGTCATCTGTTTTGGTAGGTAGGGATGATCATCCCGAAGTGCTGGTTAGGTGGGAGATGTGCGAAAATGGCGGGAGGCAGGAATTGCAAGTTACCGTGACTGCTCATGCGAGTGACCTTATTAGCTGTTTTCTTCTTCTCTTCGTGAATGGATAGAAGGACTGTGCTGATTGGGTCAGCAGGTTGGTCCAGCTACACCCTAAACCATTAAATCAATCCCAGACACTCCATGGGACTGCCATATATGCCTACATTGACCTCCCAAACCACCCCAACTGATCGGAATATATACCAGTCCCATGGAGTGTCTGGGAATGGTTGTTGGAATCCAGCCTGGCCCTGTCTGGTGCCCAGCCTGGCCCTCGACGTCTTCCAAAACAATCCAGTCAAAACGTCTGGTGGTGACTCGAGTCGGGAATGGTGGCTGGATTCTGCTCGGAATCTCAAAGCTCATTCCCTCACCAGTCGCACCAGTCAGTCCAAGACAAAAAGGACCACGGACCACTAGTAGTGACGACTTTTTGATGGTGAACCACATCATGATAGTGGCACACAATGATGGTAAGTGCTAGTATATACTGTAAGTGGTAGATGATGGCAGCTTTTCTCCATGCTGTCTGTGTGCATCTACAGCCAAGTTCTGAAGATCCTGAACGTGCTGTGGCATCATTCCAAGGTCTTAGAATATCATTCAACTATATTCAAATACAGCCTGAAATCCAAACAATCGTTGTTTTACTAAGGGTTTTGCTTCGAAACTAGGTGAACATATTGGTCTTGGAAGATATTCAGAGCATTTCAGAGCAAAGATGGTGCGATCCAAATATATCGTTCAGACTCGTTGGCATCAAACCCGGAACAAGTCCTAACAAGTCCTCTTGCTTGGCTACGAAAGAGCCCATTCAATGAGTTGCATACCCTCGACTTCCAAGATCAAGCTTGAAGGGACCTGCGACAACAAACCAATAAACCTAAATGATCCTAAATGAATCTAAATGACCTCAGTTTCACGAATGTCAACGGCTGTCCCTGGCTATCCGAAATCTGTCAGTGCCCCGCTAGACCCACTGAGCTGGCCTTCGGCGAGGGAGGTGATGGTAGCAAATGCTCGAGCTGCTGTCGTAGCCTCGACCAGCGCAGATCGGGAGCTGTTTGTGTAGACATGTATACCCTCTGGCCCTGCTGCAAAGCATGGTGAAATTCCATGTAGGTCACATGGGTACACTCCACCATATTTACAGGTAAAGCAATTTCAATTGCCTCCATGTGCAGTCTGAAGTTTGCCAACAATTCTCGGTGCATTACAAATCTGGGGTTTTCTTCCCAATTGAATTCCCTGCGAGCACTGGTGGTGGACAATTTCATGGGCTTGGATTGTCTCCCGCAAATTGATTCCATATCATGTATATGTGCGGTGTTCTGGGGAAGCCGGATTCCACACATGAATCTCATGTATGACACGTTAGAAAGAAAGCAGATCTCATCATTTGCTTACAGCTGATCCATCTCCAAAGCAAACATCAACGACATCCACGTGGTGGAAATACATACCGATTCTTCATCCATCTCCACCATCCCATCTGCTCCGCCCAGGGACGTCTCTTCCTTCAGCAGTGCCGAATCCTTGCGCAGGCGGATCTCCCGACGCAAATCTTCCAGGTCAGCGTCCTGCAGGCGCGACGCGCCGCGGTCAAAACGGCGCCCAAAACGGCGCAACAACGACGTGCCAAAAGGAGAAGAGCTGTTGATCTCTGGATGTCGCGAGAATCTGGGCAGAAGATCTCGAGGAGTGGAAGACCGGCGAGATCAAAGTATTTATGTCGAACGCTGTGTACGTTGCATTTGGGGAAAAGAATATGGCAGTGGGTCAAAGCAATACAAACCGTGGAAGGTTGTAGAGGGATCCGTGCCTTTTTGGTTTCACCAGGGTCCCCCTGTTTGGACCCGGAGGAAGGAGGAATGCTGACGTCTCACGAGATCTGGAAAGGATGCAATCCCAGACACGACTAATGGGACTGTCATAGGACTGCCGATCAGTTGGGGTGGTGAAAGGGGGGTCAATTGATCGGCAGTCCGACATGGCAGTCCTATGGGTCGGTGTCTGACCATGTCTGACCAATGTGCATTGCTGTGACAGCCGTTTCCGACCCCAGCACCTGTGACTGGCAGTCGCATGCGATTGATGCGACCCTGGCACCTCCAAATAGCGGAGATACTTTCTCAAGTTCTCTTCCCGCTCTTGCTCACGGCTGATGCCTGAGCGAGCGTGCCACGTCACGTCAACCAGTGGTGCCAGCGAGCCTGGCATCACCTATGGTGCAATGGTGAGTGGACATGACGTCGAGCAGCAATCAAGTGCGTGCTTTGTTCTGATAGTAATTCTCAGAGCCTTCAAAAAACATGGTGCCTGCAATACTGTTCAATAACTGTGGACCCCAACTCCTGTCTCTGGTGCGCTTGGTAGTTTATTCAGCAGGAGAAACAGTGGCATTTCCACTGATAGGCATCTCATCTCTAGCTACATATCATTATATAGATTCAGATCCAAATGTAATTATTGGCGTGTAATTCTTCCTTCTTTAGCTTGCTATGCCCTTCAATGAAGGACTCCCCACAACCCTCTGACCCCTCAACCCCTGAGCACCCCGAAGTGCTCCATCGTTCATCCCAGCCGCGGTGGACGATGCTCTGGCGTCGATGTTGCAACTGCCTCTCCAAGTCCTCGACCCGCGTCATGAGCCTCAGAGCAACGAGACTCATGCAGCACATCCTTTGGCACGGGTTCCAAGAAAATGCCGATGCCCCATTTGGACGGAAGGAGCCCTTTTAGGCTTATATATCAACCAGGTTTAGAACCCATCAACTTTCAAACACACTTTAAGCTTTCCTTTTGATGAGCCAAGGCCGACGAATTCCGTGCCCTTTTCTTCATCAGACTTTATACAGTGGAGGTATACCCAGATACACAAAGGCCTTCTTGACACAACCAGAAAACACGTCGCTTCATTCTAGCAATTCTAGGATTTCTGTTGCTAAGTCGCACACGTTGACATGCTTTGACCCCAAGATGCCAACACCTGCTGGTTGGAAGCAATTTAGCCTGGCTCATCCAGCTCAAACCGCCGTTCTACCCACTATAGTGGATGGAGAGTAGATGGCACAATCCCCAATATCGGTGGTTGAAAAAGGAACCCCCCTCTTTTTAGACCGTTTAGGGGATTGCGCCATATACAGTACTCTGACATTGGGTTACCCAAAATGAAGCACTCCACACCGTGTTCGACCATGTACTCCCTTGCTCCCAGCGGCGTGTGTTCCACGCGGGTCTCCTCCAAGCGTTGTTGCTCCACCTCGCGGTCCGGTCGGTTGGCGGTTGGCGGTTGGCTTGGTGCAGGTCTTGGACGTTGACTGCATCTTGGATGAAGGGAACCACTCGTTCAATTGACAAACCAACATCTGTCTGTTGTGAGATGTTGAGTTCGTCCTTACTCGGGCAGCACAAAAAAATGGTCGCGAGATGTCGTGAGGCAGTAACTGCCTGAGTTAGTCAGCTGCTCTGGTCTGATCCACTTAGTCGACCATGGTCCACCTAAAGGGATTTGCATCCTGTGATGTGGTTGTCACCAGATGCAAATTCATGATGACCTTTTGGTTGAGAGCTAGCATGAAAGCTAGCATGACAGCGAAAAAGCAACCATGCCTGAGAAGCACATCACCAGAGCTCCCAACACATAACCTCAGAAACACCAATCATAACCTTCACTCCACAAAACCAGAGCTCAAGAGAGCTACTAAGAGAGCTCCAGCGGAGACCGAACGCACGCATCTGCGGAGATCGGAGTCGTCCATTGGTCCCCAACCGGTCCACTGGATCCCCAAACACCTGTTTGGCTCCGTGCCGACAGTTCGGGCGCCTCAGTGCGAAGGCCTTTGCTGGCCTTTCACTTTCCGCACTGGTGGGGAAGCAAACGCCCAGCCTCCTCAGCCCACCCCGCCCTGGTCTTTTTGACCCCACGGACTCGGCCAAAAAATCAGCGGGGTCACGGCAGACTCGGTCCCGGCCTGTGCTCGGACTTGTCGAATTCGATCCTCTAGGACTTGCTGCCGCCGCTCCTTTGCAGACTCGGCGGTTGGTCGGTGGGGGAGAAACCAGCGTGGTAGGTGGATTGTTGGGTTCTTTTTTGGGGTAGTTGATATGTGTGGTTTAAGATGGTTTAAGCACCAACCATGTCGAGGTGAAAAATCCTCCCGAAGTTGGGAGCTGCCGCATCAGCTGCTGACAGTTCCGGATCGTTTGCCTCCGACATGGTCTGTGTAACATGGGCTTCCTTTGCTCCCATTCTCCCTGAAGAGGCCAAATAGGCCATGGTGTCTTGGATCTTCGCCGTCTCGGGTCGAACTGGTGCCACCTCCCTCGCTCGTTCCTTTGCTCCCGCGCCCCGGCCCGAAGCTCCGAACACAGCCACAGCGGCGAACTTCCGTCCTTCGAAAACAACGGGAAGTCCGAGGGCAACGTCAAAGCCTTTCGGACTTCGACTTCGACTTCTGAAAACCGGAAAACCGGAGATCCGAAACCACCCGGCGACTCGTGCGAAGGGGCGCCTCGTGGACGTCGCTCGTGCTCGGCGCGCGGGGCGCGGCGCTGCGGCGCGGGTGGCGCGCGTGGCGCTCCTCGGCCGAGCGTGGCGCGCGTGGCGTGTGGCGCGACGCTCGGTTGGCTCGGTGTTCCAAAGAAAGAACTCTGAGTGTTCGGCTTAGTCTGAGACGATGTCGAGTTTCTTTCAGAAATTGTTGAAAGTTCCAAAGGGAGATTAATTTTCAAGAACTTGGCGGTCATGTGGTTTCAGAGAATCCTGGACAACCTCTTAGACTTCAGGTGGGGAAAGTCTACCGTCCGAAGCAACTTTGTTTCCAGGAACAATACATCTAACGCTATTCTTATAGACTTTTTGATAACCTGGTGTCTCGCAGGGATTCTACTGGGTCTGTATTTCCGAAGGTCTTTAGGTCCCTGGCTGCGCTTCTTTTCCTGGAAAGATCTTCATGTTTGAAATTAATTCAAGACGGGGCTGGGTCAACACCTCGAGCCCGCCCACCATGTAGCGAACCTCCTGGTGCCAGTTCCCACAGCTGGATGCTTCACAGCCACAGCCGATAACAACGCCCGCTGAGCGAAGCACAAACACCACACTGCCCACACTGCCCTTCGCAAAGCAACAGAACAACGAAACCCCCAAAAAAAGAAGCTGTGATCTATCTCGAGACAAGCTTTTGAGAAGTCATTCATATACCTTTTCAAAGATACCCTTGTTTCCCGTCACACGGCCCTTGTGAAAACACTGTGTATGAGACTGTCAGACTGCAAAGAGACGGGATTCGAGTTCTCCAACACGGAAAAAGACACACGAAGCCGGAAGAATTCCACGAAGCCCGACACGAGACGCGAAGCCCACCACAACCACAGACTAGGCTCCACCACGACCTCTCTTTGTTGGTCCTCTTCCGACAGACCGATGTTGGATGTGAATCGAAGGAACCGAACATCGATGGGCTCTTCAGTTCGGTCAATGGGCTCTTCAGTTTGATGAGCTCGCGTAGCGAAGTGGTCACAGCAGCATCGGGTTTGTCGGTGTTCATCGCTTCTTTTTTTCCCAAGTGCTTGGAAAAGCTCCATCTGTGGGGCTTCTCTTTGAAACACCATCCTCGATTCAGGTATCTTCAGGTATAGCAAAAGGTGCAACAAAAATACAGAGATGTAATATAGCCTATGTTAAAGACCGATTTCACGTTGTAATTTGTTCTGTGAACATTTTCAGGTGTACTTATAACTATAACTTATAATCCTCAACTCAAGTAGATTAGGCTGATGTAACATGCTTCGAGTCGTACCGCCAACATTCTGAATGAACTTGAAGATCACCAAACAGGGCACCAAGGCTTTGTTCTATGGTCCAATCTTGGCGAAGGCCCCACATCAAAGCCCCAGCCCGTTGAACGTCCCTCTCCTCCTCTATGATCAGGTCCTGCAAGGGATAGGAGATGAGAACACCAGCAAATCAAAAGAATGTCCAAGCCTTAAATCATTGAACCTTCGCATTCAATCTCTTCCCATGTTTCTGGTGCGAACCCTTCACCAGAACGTGCGAACCTGCACTGAGGACCATCACACTGATCGACTGACTGATCAACGTCCCCCTGAACGTGAAAAAACCGAAGTAAGCACACGCCGAGAACGTCTACCGAAGTACACTCCATGGCACCACCTGTTTGGTCTGTCGACTGGGTCTTCTGAACGAAATTGGCCATGACATCCACGTCTGGGTCTTGGGAGTGTAAGCACCGGTCTGATCGCCACACCCCCGACCGGATTCGCCGCTCGCCTCTCCGCCCAAGCTCTGCACAATCCGCTCTTCCATCTGAGGATGAGGACCTGAGTCCCCAAGGAGACGGAGGAAAAGGATGCAGTACCACAGAACTGGAGAATCCAACAGTGATTTGTGAAGAGCAAAAGACTCCAAGAGGGTTTTTGCTTTGGGAAGACTGCCAGGCTGGGCGCTTTTCTTGGAACTGTGGGCACATGACGCTTCAAGAAGCTTGACTAAATGGATTTGTAGTTCCCATGACTTATGACTCATCAGGACCTTGAGAAGTCCGCTACCAGCATCATCAGTGCTGCTTGTATCTACTGGTCCCCAAAGAGTATTTGTGGCACGCTTTCCAATACATTCTGAGTGGGATCTTTTCTATCTATTTGGGGGTCTTTTTCTGTTCACTGGTGCTTGTTGAGGCAACCATTCACTCGCACATTTGTGGGCTTCGAACTGAAGCGATGACGTCTGGGCCCAGGGCATACAACAACCTCACTTGTGGCATGGCGTTCTTGGTGCTCCTGGTGCAGCATCACGATGGGAGAGCAATCGTCACTGGACCATCATCAATTTTCTCACGAGATAACCCATATTGGCGGTGATCAGCTGATCCATGCAAATTCCAAGCCGTCCTTTGGTAGTGGTACAGAATGTATATAATAATAGGGATTTCATGCGAAGGAAGGAATACTATTTAGGATATCCTGTCCTGACTCTACTATTAATGCAAATCCAATGCATTTATCACGATTCTGAAAGATGCTGCTGCGAGAAAAACACATACACTCCTGGCAATGCATATAGCGGTGGAAGTCATCCTATCCTGCTTGCGTCATCAGAAAATATCAGAAAATATATTGCGCTGCCCATCGCGAGTAGGTTGGAGGACATCGCTCGAAGGACGGAGGCCATTGCTAGTAGGCTGGAGGCCACTGCTAAAAGGGTGGAGGCCATCGCTAGTAGTCTATGCTTTAGTATATTACATTAACATTGCTTCTTCACTGGCTCACCGGTTTTGCCGGCTCTCTGGGTGGCAATGGCCCAGCGACACTCCTTTCGACCGCGCTCCTTCTCACGGTAGCGTAGCTCCTCGTGGCACAAAAGAAAAGCGCAAAGGGTATCACCGAAACTCCACCCGCCCTGGCTGTAGGGAACAAACCGGAGGATGTGGGTCAACACCAGGGGCGATGAAGAGAACAAACGTCGCCTGACATGGTCAACCTGCAAGGGTTTCCAGGTGCCATGACGAAACCAGCCAGCCCTCTTCGCTGGTGCTGTTCGATCCTCGTTCGGTTCTGTTTCGATCCTCACAGGTTCTCTTTTTCTCCGACGAATGGACGAAACATAGAAAAACAGAGCTATTTGTTCATTGAATCATATTTACCTCATTGTTTACCTCATGGGTTCATTGGATTTGCTTGGCCTTCTATGAATTTTGCGATTGACGAGGTAGTCTGGACACGAGGTAGTAAGCCTTTACTGAGGGTAGCAAGCTCGAGAGGCAGGCCCGTTTGCAGCAAGAACCACTATTAATATGGTTACCCAAACGCTCCAAGCAGCTCTTGGTCCCTCAAAACGACCTGGGCCTTTGAGGCTCCGGACCCTCCATCTGAGGGTCCGGCCCCCTAACATGTCCGAGCCTATGCGCTTGTTTTTGGGACCTGTCAAGACTGTGATGCAGCGGCATCTTTACTAGCAACAAAGGGCATGTCTACTAGCAAGGACGCTAATCCGCTACTATAGTAGGTATTTGCTCCTAGTAGTATTGGCCAGGAGCCACTCGTAGCTTCTTGCTAGTACCGTAGCGATGCCCTAGATCTTCCGTTCGGTCGCGTTGGGACTCTGTCGTACGACAAGACGATGACATCGGTCGGACCCTCCGTGGAGACCCTCCAACTTGAGGCTGGCTGAGAAGTCGAAGTCCAAGCTGTAGCTTGATACACCGAAAGAGGACCCGGTGGAGAGGTTCGGAGAAAAAGAAACAAATCCAACGTCCCCATTTCAGGGTGTCTCAGACCGCCGCCGCGAGCGGAGAGCTCCTCTTCCGTCTTGCGGCGCTCCTGACAGTGCTCAAAGAGGTGAGGGGCGCAAGCGCGCATGCACATGCACAAGCGCGAATGCGTGAAGCGAATGCTGCCGGATGCTCCTCATTGGGGTCAATGTTCGCACTTAAACACTTACGGCAGTGGTGGATTGCAGCGTGATGGATTGCCTTCTTGGTTTCCCAGAGTCCGAAGATATTACTCTATATTATGCTTGGATGTCCCTCTCCCTCTTGCATGCAATCATTGAATCATTGTGCCAAGAAATGACGAGCTGCTCGTCACAAGAGCAGGAACGTGTTGAAGAACATGTCCGCCCAGGTTTATGGGACGGTTCCCAGTGCTTCTTCTCTGTTCGAAACGTGGCCCCCTTCAATGAAACCATGTGAAACCCGCACAAAACACAGTTATGGGATGTTATGGGTTGTGGGTTGATTTTGTAGATGTAGACTCTGTAGACGAACAAATCCGTAAACAACAACTTGTGGAATTCAAAAGGCTCCAAAGCACTCCACCCTTAGAGGCCCCAGTCCACTTGACTCGTTCCTGCTCGTGCGAGAGACCTGGGCGCGTCTGGGCACGTCTGCCAGTCATCGCCACATGGTGATTGGACGGTCCAAAGAAGCTGTCCAGCCACCCAAACTTTTGGAACAAACATCTACGAAAAAAGGAAACCAAAACAAAAGTGGGAAACGTCGTAACAAAATCTACCAACAGCTAAATAGCCTATGGTATTCCTTAAAAACGTTAAAAAATACATGCCAATGAGCAGTTGTTGCTTTTGTTCTGGGCCAATTCCGGCTTAGACTTCCTGCTGACGGCCCGTCACGAAACCACGGTAGACTGGAGCGTGGTAAAACGTGGTACAAACCATAGGGCTCATGCTTGTTTTAACCGCAGCCAGTGAAGGCGCTCATTGAG